TTATTGCGGTCGAAAACTTTTGCTGACACACGAAGTCAGCACACACTGACACGAAAAAAGATCATCGTATTAAACGTCTCAGCCCCTGGCTCAGTGCACTCACACATGGCCACCCCACGTATTATGGCATGTGTACTGATTTGCTCAATGTTCTCTAATACCCGCTTGGCCTCCGTTAGACAAGATATCAATATCTCGACCGCCCGACCTGGGGACGCCTGTTCATTTTTTAAATGGAGTATATAAAGAAATGAATCGCTGACGATAAGGGTTGCGCTCGCTAAAGTATTTAGCCTAAAATTTCATACCACGAGCTGATGACAGTCATGCAACGCCTGTTCTTTTCATAAAAATTGACCAAAATTAGCAAGGGTTGGTAAGGTTCTGCGCGTATTATTGAATGACACCACATGCACCACCGCTCGTGTAGCCTCCCATTGATCCCTTTGAATTTCAATCTTGCGATTATGCTTTTAGGAGGGGGGTGCTTAACGCGTTAGCTGTCATATCAAAAATTCCGAGATACTAGCAATCAGCGTTTACGGCATGGACTACCGGGGTATCTAATTCCCGATCACTTCTCAAACTTTTGATTTCAGTGTCATCTGATCCGTGTCGTAATGGAGTCCAGGTGCTACATCTGCTTGAAAGTAAGAAAAATGATAAATGACTTCTATATTGAAACGCGGGTCAGACGCGATTCGGCACCGCCGGGGGCCTCGTTAGCGGCTTGATCAATGAGAAGTGAGCTCTGCTGTATTACGCACTACAGACTCTATCACGCACTATACCCTGCAAAACACATTCTGGTACTTACAGTTACCACACAACCACCACACAATAATCACCACAACTGGCAGCTGAGGAGTTCACCAAAATAGGAGTGTCCGCTATGACAGCTCCTTTTCCAGCAATCCCATGTTGACGAAGTTGCGCATCTCCAGCGAGCCCAATATTACTGTCCGCCTTTTGGGCTACCTTTCATCGAAGATCCAGACGTTTCGCGGTATTTCAGTTAAAAGGAGTGTTAAGAATCGGTGATGCGACATGTGCGCATAGAGAAAATGTTTTGTGTCGTTGTGATTACTACCTCGCGGAAACATCAGCGACTCATTCTTCGCATTGACGCAAACATGAACTCAACGACTCCTGCACCTGGTGCAAACAACATCAACAAATTGGCCACAGCAGCACGACTTCTCACCATTTGTCTTGAGCTTTGTGCTCTGATCGCGCAGGCCGACAAAATCTGCCTGGTCTGCCTCTCGTGATTGTCGGCCGCCCTCTTTCGATAAAAGGGCATCAACCGCTAATTATGGAGACGAAGATCTGCAACAGCTCTCTTTACAAAGTAAATCTTACGGTATCTGCTCTCGCCTGATCGATATCTTCAGACTGGCAACTCCGGCTCCTATTCAGGTCATTCACGTTCTGAAACCGTGCCGCTACGAAGTTTATGTTCTGTCTGAACACCCAGCTTTGCTTTCCGCATAGACTTCACTTTTCATGACTGTGAGTTTGTTTATGTTTCGATGGTCTTTCGAATGAGGGTTTTGGCAGTAGTGATCGTCCAATCTCTCCGTTGTGTTGTGCTGACATAGATACGTTTTGACACAAGATGAATGAACAAGTGCCAATCTGCATTGCACTTTCCAGTGGATTATCGCCCTAGTGACTCACTTTCCCAGTGAGTTATCACCCTAGTGACTCATTCGATTCGCGTGAAGTGTCTTGCGTTCGATATCGCGTACACGTTGAGGTTACTGTTGGAAATCAAAGAGATGTAATGAAAGGCTTCTGTATTAAAACGCCAGACACGTTTCGGCTCCCCGCCGGGGGCCTCGTCAGTAGCTTATCCAATCTAGAAGTGAGATCTTTCTGTATCGTGCACTACCAAACCAAAAATCTTCTAGAACTTAGTGTAAACACACAAATCACCCACTGTAACTACTAAACCTGGCAAGTGGGGCGTCGACCCGGAAGGGAGTGTCCGCTATGACAACTCCACTTCCAACAGTTACTAGGGAGAGCATCCTGTGTCGGAAGCAAGCGCACGCATATTGCCATGATGAAAAATTTCTTTCGATAAAGTGGAGCTTGTGAAGTGGGGTGGGAAGCAGTCACTCAGTACATCGATGCTGCCTGCGATACTGCGTTACTTCTCTTTTCCTCTGATCACGGTTTGTCAGGTTCGGTATTTGGTAAAGAGTGTGTTTTGTCGGTCAAAGCAACTACGCGACGCGGGACTCGAACCCGCAACCCCCAGATTCGAAGTCTGATACGCTATCCATTGCGCCAGCCGCGCGCTGATGTCTGGGGTAGGGTTATCATAAACTATAAATCATTGCTTTGCACACAAAAAACTGTACTGCTCTCGACCCTTTTAGCTCCAACACTTGGGTGGGTGCCATACCAAAGCATCAAAAGTCTTCGTTACAGATGAAGGCACTTTAGTCTTTGCCGATGAACCCGTGTTGGATTCACATATCAATGCAATCCTCTTTCGATTTGTAAAATTGTGTGTCTTTCCGAAGAAAAGGGTCTTGTTTTGGCAAGCACTAGAATACGTAGGTACGTGCGCACACATGCAAGGGTCATCTCTTTCGCGCAATAATTCAAGCGGCGTCATCAGAGAGGATTGAGTTCTTCTTCATTCTGGATACAGAAAGGCATACTGTGCTTTCGAGAAATGTATATTACACTGATCCGGTAGTTTATCATTTATTCATTTTAACGGATGATTAAGTTCCATGCTTAGATCACTTGAAGATAGCGTTTCAACTTCTTTCGCCACCATTAGCCTTTTAATTATAAACTAATCTGCGGAGCTGATGCTAATAAGAAGACGGCTTACGGCCGGAGATGAAGCCGAAAAGTGAGTCGTATTCAAATTGTTCCTAGCTTCAAAAATGAATGGCTAGTAGTAGCCGGTGACTCTAAGCCACCTATTTCATGCCTCGTCTCCACCGCTTTCCGTTTTGTATTTCACTGGGTAACCACGTCTCGTAAGTACCTTTCGTAAAAAACTCTGCTGTGTCATATACAGAATGCAAACGATTGCATGGTTGTGGGGGACGTAATTGCGGGTGGGTCACAGTTCTGGTGAACCCCAAGCACCAGGTCGTGAGTGTCAGTCACAATTAACTTGCACGGGGTTCGGACCCGCACTCACCCGCGTGGAATACCCCTTCCAAACGACTGAGCCAATCCGATGCTTTGTCGAATCGCTGACATCCCACAACATGAATCTGCCAAAGAACAGTACAACTAGTGGTAATATGCAACATACATCCTGCACAAGTCGCCGCAGCATCACTCGCTAACACTCTCCCTTGATGTGCGTGCGACGTGTGCGCCCTACACCGCCATGCACAGACCCGTGATGAACTTCCCGTGCTTGTCTCTTGGATGTGCCTTGGTGAATCCATCCGCGACCATTTCTTCTGTCGGCTTGAGCTCGAGCGCGATCACTGCACTAGCAACCTTTTCCCGCAAAAAGTGAAACTTGCTGTCGATGTGCTTCGTGCGCGAGTGGTACACAAGATTCTTGGCCAGCGCGATGCAACCTTGATTGTCTTGAAAAATCGTCGTCGCGTTCTTGGCACAGTAGTTTAGGTCCTTGAGCAGACTTCAGAGCCAAATTGCTTCCTGCGTCGCGCTGTACAGACTCATGTACTCTGCTTCCGTACTTGAGGTCGCGACCGTTGGTTGACGCTTCGAATTCCACGATATCACGCTTCCGTTTAGGAAGAATACGTATCCTTAAAACACGATGCTTAAGTCTTGAATCGTCTTGAGATACTTGAGAATCCGCTTTGCCGCTGTCCAATGCGACTTGTCATAGCGCTCTCAAAACTTCGCATGCGCACTGTTCGGTCGTGTACATGTGGCGATGTACATTAAAGCGCCCACCAGCTAACGGTATGGGTACTTTGGTACAAACACTTCCTCTTGACCCATCTTGATCAGCTTCGAGTTTCTGTCCGCCGGCGTGTGCACGTCCTTGCAGTTTTCAACGCCGAACTTCTCCAAAAGTCGCTTGGTGTACGCCTTCTGGTTCATCTTGATCGTTCCATCTTCGCGCTTGCGATGAATCTCGATCCCGAGGCAGTACTTGAGATCTCCAAGATCTTTATTGCTGAAATCTTCCATCAATGAGTTCTTGGTACTTGCGATGTGCCCCTTCGTCTTGCAGAAAATCATCAAGTCGTCCACGTA